GCTTTTTATCGACTGAAACGCCAAATTCCAGACGAACCCTCAACCTGGAGAACCAGGAGACTGAACTTCATCTGACCTCTACCCATTGACCTTCGAGGCATGATAAGATCTCCTGGCTTTATAAAGCAATCCTGTGTAGCTCGTTGGGTCACAGAGGTGCACAAGCCATCACAACCCGTCAAGGTGTAGTCTCCTCGTGGAAACCTATTAGGTGACATGCGCAACACATACCCCAACAAAAGCTATGAATATCAACCACTTAAGGATACGCGCAAGTAAATCGATGTTATTCATTCTGACTGTGCGCAGTGACTTTCAACCAGTTTAATCGGAAGATCTGACAACCAACATAAATTTAGACATTTTTCGATATGATGGCGAGAGACCCAGTCCCACGTTGTTTTACAGCTTTTAACAAATCCCAATGCATCGAGTCCCCTTTATCCATTGCATCAATACAGAAAGAGAACATGTCGCAGTTCGTTCAATCTTCTCAATCGCTGACTTAAAACAAACAAGCACATATATAGCACATGTGGTTAATCAATTATGGTCAACATCTCGTGACAACAGGACACAAAGCTACCCCCACTTACGCGTTTGCGATGCTAAACTTTTGAGAATGAGTGAAGCTCTGCTCAGCTGATTACATCATCCGAACTTACGCACACAATAGTTTTCGATACAATCAATTCACTTACATGGAGTTCACCTACTACTTCTAAATTTCGTAATCTTTCTATGCTGGTACACATTCCCTGAGAAATCGGAAGGAGGAACTAATTAACTTTTATTACACTTGGTTTTCCACAATTTCTATTTTGCAATTATTTATTCCGAAAGACAGTGAATGAACTAACTTTTCGACGTTTAGCCGGCATGCCCGCTATGTATGCATCACTGAAGCGCTGGAACTGATCAGCGGAGCCATTTTCTGACGGCGAGATGCGATTCATGTTGGTCACATCTCCAGCCACAACATGAAGCCACTCGGGAGGCAGAGCTGCATGCCAGCCTTCTGGATTTGGCAGATTTGTAGCCACAGCAGCGTCCAACAACGAGCGAGCACTATCCGGATGAGGATCTAAAGCTCGAGAAATCGGTTCCGGAATCTCTCCTGGTTTAGGAACTCCGTAAGGTAATGGTGACCCGCACAGTGGCTTTTCCATATTATTGATCGGTAGTTCAGAAGAAGCGTCCACAAAGGGCAAGTCTTCCAAATCTGTGTCATCCAACACACACTGTTCCATTTGGGAAGGTCGTGCCTTATATTACGCGGTGGTCACAGTAGGGAAAACAAACAGACACAAAATACGTTTAGCAACATGGTGAAATTGGGGTTGCAGTGTTTCATGACAGGACGTATATGGAACACACAATCCCCGAACCGCATAAAAAAGGATGAACAAGATCTCAGGATTCGAAACAATAATAGAAATTTCGAATATGTAAATATACACAACTAGTTCACACACTAGCAAAGATATAACGGTGCACTGTTCTACACAACAAAACGTCCAGGATTCCCTGTTGTATTTGGGATACTGCAAGATGACCATATAAAATACCGAAGACAAACAACGATGCTCGTTGACAGCCAAAAAACCGCTACGCCAGTTGAATTACAAATATTTTTTCTTTGCATTATTGTGTGATGAACAGCAGACCTGCTATTCAGTGATGGAAACCGGTAACTTAAGCTTTGAGTGGCGAACCACATCAGATCCCTTTACGTTAGGCGTGGTATTGAACTTGACGACAGCAAAGCTGCCTACCGCCAAATTTGTGTGGCGGCATTGGGGTTTATAACCGGGGACCATAAGATTTAATGCACAGCGGTGGCAGCGACTAAACCACTGCACCACAACCAAGGACATCCGTGATGAAATATAAGTCCTTACCTCCATGTCCACGTCAGGAGATGGAGTCGTAGACAAACGACGTCGGATAACAAAGTTGCTCAGAACTTGAGAACGGAGAAGTGAGCTTCCGTCCCAATTTTGACAGTAGGCGTCAATGGCACGATTTATTTCCGAGGACATCAAGCCTGCCAACAATCCTTCTTCACGATGACCTGCGTAAATGAGAAGTTAGGCGTTTTTCACATTACCATGATAATGATTGTACAGAGGAATATAGGGAGGTGAGCTTCAATGATCGGGCCTAAACACGTGTTGCATATTCATGTAATCATTGAAATTATATATTTCGTCAACCTTTTTGTCAGTAGTAGCTTTATGCACCCGGATGGGTGAATTTTCAGCATTTACAACATATTTGTGGATTCAAATTTACAAAATCATTACATAATGAAACTGAAAGCAGTAGACTGTGTTTGTCAATGAAGCAAGCATTTGCGCAATTCTGTGGAAATTTTCTCCTTGTCAAAAAGTAGACGTGCTAGGTATGGCAGAACAGAATTACGATAAGTAGAGATACGTGCAAATAAAAGTTTAAATCTTAAGCGAGTGGATGATGTGGATACAGCTTTTGATGTGATGGGTGGTGACGTTAAGGTATTTTTCTACTGTTGATTGGCAGAGGGTGGAGAACCTATCGATGCAGACTGGATATGGTACATCGGTCAAGAGGGAAAACATATCCTGACAACGTCGACAGTTTCCTTTTTGTGTTTATTGCTACTGTCACACAACTGGTTGACAGCCCTCCACACGTCACGCCAGTTAGAATTTCCCAGGATAGTGTGGATGTACAATTTGTTCAATCGATTTATTTTAGCTTTTATCGAAATTGTTAGCCACTTGACATGGATTCTTTGTCCTTGCTTATAAGCTTGTTCTTTCCGCCTGCGTAGCTGCTTAAGTAGCGGTGATGAATGTATTTATGGATAAAGACCGTTTCTAGTGGACAACATTGGCTAAAACAAATTAAGGTAGTTCACAGAGGACAGAAAGGTTCTGATCGGGAAACAACGAAAACTCTGCGGTGGAAATCATGGAGCTTAGCCTTTCTAGGTTCTCTGATGAACACTTTCTTTGACTTGGACGGCCTTCCTAAAAACGTGTATCGGTTAGTTTTGCTGTATACAGTGGGACATACTTTCAAGATAAAATGATCTGAACTGCTCAGAGGAGCATGTTGATGGACTTAAAAAAATTGCGGTTTGTTTGTAAAAACGAAATCAAGTTGTGAATTTAGTCTGGTAGGAAAATGTACCAAATTTTATAGACCCAGTGTGGTGAGGAATGTTACTTCTTGAAGCATAATAATTCTCATGTTTTTGTACTTCTTTTTCCGTGTGATGTCTACTACCTCCTCGATTTTTCCTAACAGCGAACGAACATCGCTTGTTAAAATGAGAGGATTTTGCATTTGGTTGGTGCTGCACTGTCTGAGAGCTACTTGCCAACCTTCTGCTATTTTGTTTTGATCATCCGCTTGAACTTATTCCTCACATTGCTGGAATATTTCTCGACTGTTCATCATATGGATACTAACACGGAAAACCGTAAATCTGCTCATAAAGGTACCCGCGGTAATATATATATTTTACTAATACGTGACTATCTCCCAACAGAGAATGGGTAGTTTCTTTGTAGTCTGTGGACTAATGCTACCCGGTGGAACGCCTGAGTGTGAGGATCCGGTGAAAGGTGAAAATGTGATCTACACAACTTTACCGAATATATGACTAGTGTGGTTCTCACGCGTGCAACGGAGTACTATGCCTGCGAGACGTTGAAAGATAGCTTTGAACAAAAACATTCCTGTGAAATTCACATTACTCGTCAATCGGTAAGACGACCCGATCACGGCATTCAGTTGGACCTTGATTTCAGGCCTAGACACAGATTGGATTGATGACGTGAACTCACGTTATCAATTTTCCACTAAGACAATATATAAACCTTAATAGAGTTCCACGTTTTCTCTGTCTAACCGTTTTACCTTTCCCGTCAACAGTCACTTGTGTGCGATGCCGCTCCAAGGATAGACCTGTATCCGGAAAGGAAGCAACAACAAAAAGGGCTATTTATCAAATCAGCATATGCACCGACCAACCGCAGTTACAGTGCACTCATTCGGTCGAGTTTTGCTTGCAGGTGATCATAACGCGCAGGTAGGAAAATTGAGCACATCGAAAGCTTGCTTGGACGGTTGTTGTGCTCTTCTCCTCCAGCGAACATAAAATGGGTATCACAGTCTGTTCCTGTCAAGTGCCAGCTCTCGATGGATGCCAAAGCAGTGTTTCATTTCAAACTCTGCGAGGTTCTTTTGGGCATCAAATCTCTCCCACTCTCATGAAACCAGTAGTCTGGTCGGAATGTTTCTGATCGAGTCCTAAGTCTGGAAACTGATGTCGAGATACGCGAGGTGTAATGCGTGCATTAGGTTGTCCAAAACGGTTGTGCTATATCCTGTATGAGCACAATCAAAAATGGTCTGATTAGCTGTCCAGTGGTCAAGAGGATACTATGTATAAGTTCTATTTATCCCTGTTCGACCCTTAATTGGGTTGACGAATATGCACTGGTGCACTGAGATTCAACCAGGTCGAAGCTGCTGACTAGTGCTTCTTAGCTTTCCAGCTCATGTAATTGTTGTTTAGGTGACCAAATTCGCTATCTAATCGGATGAGGAACAGGATCATTATATATTTCACACTTGCCTACATTAACAAAAGAAAGAACGGAGGATAGTTTTGCAAAACACAGCACAATTACACCAACTACAGAAAAACCATTAAACAATGATGAAACGCGATTGAAGGTAGGCTGATCTGATGTGAGAATCCTAAACAAAGACTCACCCGAAAAGGTTGAAAGTCGACTCAAACGAGTGAAAAATGATGACAATAATCTGGTATTTGGTCGTGAGTCACTGGGAACGCGCAACCTTGTTGAAGAAGCCAATTGCGTATAGAGGCAGTCGACCGCACATATGAGGTATACGCACAAGCTGAACAAAAGTGGCGTCAGAGATGACCCAAATTCGACATTCGGACGGTAATCTCGACAAAAGCTCAGTAACGATGGCAACCACAACTGTTGAAAGAGTAAATGATCGAATAATTCATTTTAAATAGTAATGACTTGGGAATTCAATATAACTATGTACTTTGGTAAGGACGTACTTCGGTGAGTCATGCTGGTGCACAAACTCACCGATAATATAGTTGTTCAGCAGGTTATATATTGGCGGGACGGATCTCAGCTTACGACGTATACCCTGGTGATGAACAGTGGAAAAAGTGAAGCCTGTGATAACAGAAATGTTTCAGCTCATAATGCAACCATCAACCACAGGCTTACGTGCTTTAGTTTTAATTTTTGTTCTTTTGATTATCCCCTCGATTGATTGTTGGATAAAATTGAGAATAAGTGAAAAGTACTGACAAGGAATAAGGGCCTATTACAACCCCAGCCAGTTTGAGATGAACTACAGTGGCAAACAAAGGATCCATGCAAGCATAATGGTGGCTCTGACGAGGTTTAGTTGTATATCCTCCACGTTGAACGAGTAACGTACCTAAACTTGTTTGATCGTGCAGTGGTTCAGATGGACCAACAAACTGATCACAATGGTAAGGCGCCAATGAACCGATGCATGCGAGGCCCCACATAATCGTTGGACGCCCTAGTGGGTCAAGTGCAAATAAGATCCGCGTTCCCTCAAATATCGCTTTTGGTGAACCAACGGCATTCATATCCCAATATTTTCTTGTTGGAAATAAAAAACGAACAGCGGGTTCTCCTACTTGACAGGTAGTCATCTGCACAAAAAAAGCAAAAATGAATCTAAACCTACGTAATTTACTACTATCGGACCTATTATCCTTTCGTTAACTGACTGCTCTCGAATGCAATTAAGGTTTCTAATGCGACGGAATCACCATACTACCAGTTGTGGAATGTTTTATGACCTGGACTTAGTTGGCTAGGACCAAACCTGGTGCCACCAAGCCACAAATGCAATCCTTGCACACTGCACAGTACAACGGCAGATAACACTGTAGAGAAAAAATATACCAATTGAAACCACTTACGCGGAACACACTGGCTAGAGAAGCACGAACATCAATTACTTCACGAGTATCCGTGACGCGCTGGCAAACCCAACTAATGGCACGACTCTCCATAGATTCCGAAGAATATGGGACATCTCCGTCAGTGACACGGTCGTTGAACAACAAACTGATCAAACCATCTGTGAGACAATTCTCACTGAGCTGTCGCACTGCCGTGTCCGTATGTGACACCAGATGGGTCAATCGCGGGCGGATACCATCCAGTAGCTCGGCAAAGGGTCGCATGCCGTGTCCAGAGGGTGCCAGAGGATGTGGCGGTGATGTTTCGGGACGCGACACAGACAGTTCAGATTGTACTGTGGATACCACATCATGCAAGAATCGCCTGAAAAGCCATTCATTACGCGGCGGGCGATCTACCGTCTGAGATGGACGCCAGACACTGGATGGAACTGTGTAAAAGGAGACATTGGAAAAAGAGTTGATTAGCCCACTGTGACGTGAGTCAAACGAGAACATATATCCCCAGGACATGTTGTGTCAATGAACCGAGAAAAAACACTGAAAAAGGGTATCAGTGAAACCAACAAATCGGGAAATTGAATGTCCAGTTTTTCCTTTTAAGCAACCAACGCTATTTTCTGCAATTCGAATAATCACTGTTAGGATTGATTCAGTTTGAAGGATCATGTGTACAATCTCATAAAGCAATTAGCTATACTCTGAAAACATAAATTACTGGATTAAAGTTAACCATCATTGGACAAATATTATAAACGAAAAGGTAAGGTTTATTTACCATTCAAGTCAATGCCATCCTCCCGAGCTAAATGTGACAACTGAAACCAGACAGCATCAACCAAGCACTCGACAAACATTGTGAATGAACGAGGTGTGGAAGGTAGACTGGCCAAAGGTACATCTCCACGGACACCAGCCCAAGACGGCGCCACAACCGATGGATCTCCGGAGGATAAATTGTGATCCGAAGAATCCGTGCCTGAAAGAAAACCCGGTTGAAATTTAAGCCTTCTACTATTACTATTAGTTAATATTATTAGTATTAATAATGAAAATAACAACAAAACGAATTCCAACAAACTTGGTTCGAATCTATTTGCGCATCATTTGTTGTCTGGTAGTTTTTTTATGGTGAGTATTTTATCAATACACATCACTGTAAGATCAGACTGGGAATAAACTCGTAAACTCAATAAAGTTAGTGATTAGGGAAGTTTATTCGTGAGAAGTCAACGTTATGAAGGAATGTATTTGAGCACATTTATATACAAATCAGATGGACTAACGATGCTGGTTCTTCATCAAAGTAATGGGGACGCTTGAATGAATCGTGATAAATAGGGGGATTAGGAAAGTAGGTGGTGCACGAGTACCATCACCTATGTTACTCAAACTAAGTGAAAAAAATCACAAACTGGAACCCCAAACAGCTGCAAAAATAAAAATGGATAAATTAGGATAGTAGGAAAAGAAAATTTAGTTCCTAAGAATATGAAAATTCGTTTGTGGGCGATTAACTGTACCTGGAATGGTTGTTCTCATAGTTGGAACTACCAAAGACGAACCCGCAAAAGGTATGTTGGTGTATGGACGTGACACATTGGCTGTGGGTTGTAATGGATTTGAAGGAATCAAAAAATTGAACGGCGGATGGTTTAGGTGCAATCCGCTGGCACTGGCTGCAGATGCAGCAGCATTGGTGGCAGCCGAGACAAAGAAAGCGATCTGCTGAGGAAGGCTGGATAACTGGGGAAATCGAAGGTTGGATGCCGAGTCGCTGCGCGTAGTCGAAGATTCCGTGGATGAATTAGTCTATAAATAGAAAAGATGAATTAAAATATAAAAAGCAAGATTTTGTGCAACCTAACTTCAAGCATGCAATCTATATTCAACAGAAATTTAAAACATGAAATTAGAATTGCTTCATAAATCACCTGATCGAGTAGGCGAACAGTAAAAGTTGAAGTTGCAATATGTCATTGCATTCAGACTCACTGTGGTTGTCGCAGGCGGTTGAGAAGAAACAGTGGGATTTGGTGGCATCATTTGGGTCCATGTGGCAGTGCCAGGAGTACCAGAAGAGGTGGTAGTAGGTCTTGATCCTACAACGGCCGTGACCACCGGCGTTGAAGTCAAGTGAACTGTCGGAAGAAGAACACGCTGACGCTGAGATGCAAAGTGCGGGGAGGAACATTGCAGAAACGGATCTGGGTCCTCTGCCATTGGAGAATTAAGTCTCACAGTACGTGGGGCTGATGCTGATGGTGTAGCTGTGGTGGATGCTGGTGTCGAAGTTTGGGTTGCAGGCGTAGCAGTACGCGATACAGTCACAGTAGGTGGCAGAACGTTTGTTGCCAATTGGGCGTCGATACTCAAGGGCACGTAGTAATAGTGTGCTGCCGGAAGGGGAATCACAGTGGTCCTTGAAGGCGATGTATTAAGTGTCGGAGTGGTTGTCGTTGATGGTGTGGTAGTGCTGGTCTGATTGGTGGTTGGAGGCACAACACGCCCTAAAAGGGTGGAAATCGGTCGACTGATCCTGTTCATAATCGAGGTATTCACGTGATACACCATTGCAGTACCATTGATAGAAGTAGACATGGTTGGGATAGACGGAGGCAAACCGGTCCCCGTGTTCGTCGATTCTTTAAAAAAACCAAGTATAGCAGAAAATTTTAGATGAGATTTGACTACATGACTTGTTCCTTTAACAGAAAACACCAAGTGATATCTACTAATGAGGTATATGGGGCAATACGGAGGGCTATCGTGTTCCATTGAGAGCCCCAGTTTCGCTCCCGCCCCTCACACATGTCGCTCCGACAAGCGTTCCTTAACAGACATACCTAAGTAACGCGCTCGACAGGTTGGCTACGTTGGTTTAAGGGTGGCTGGGATGGTGATTTCTCACTCCAACGTGTCGTACTTCAATAAGCAAGCTGGCTCACAACTTTCGTCTTGTTTAACAAAATATCTCCTTGATCTATCGCGCTTTCGTGGATCATGCACGAAAACTGTTTGTGATTGCATTTCATGCACCGACAAATGCAGCTGAAATGAACACTAAGAATACCTATACAAAATATAGACAAGGAGTCAACTGGATACCGAATGCCAGCAAGTGAACCTCTCAACATATAATAGGGATTTTCGGCATTACCCAACGATTTAAGAAATACGACCGCTTTCTGAATCATTGAATCCATCTAATATAAGCAGATCAACTGTCTACAATACACGATTCCCCAGTTACACGTGTCTAATAAATGATGCTTGCGTACCAAACCGACTCTATTTTCGTATGAGGACCTTGTCATCGCGAGGTGAAAGTGATTAAGGTAAAACTGCAAATCGAAAAAAGACCGAACTTATCCACCCGTCGAACCAGTGCCCTAACTAAAACAGGAAGCTCATATAAGAGCAGCCGAGGAAAATGAATTGATAGGCAGTGCTGCACCATAATACAAACCACTTAACGACTCCGGCATTGCCGGTTTCTCTCGAACGGTACGAAATTCATAGTGAACTATCAAACGAAGATAATCTTGCAAAGGTAACGAAAAAGGAAGGCAGTAGAGGTCAGTATATCGCCAGGGGACTGCAAAGCCCAACTTGCAACTACAATAGATTCATTACAGGCACTGCACTGCTTCGGAAGCCCCAGTATGATCGAGGGTAGACGTCTCAGGTTCCAGATGATCACTCATCCCTTGCAACTCACGAAATGCTCTCATACGACCAAGCGCCTTAGTCTGCTAGGCCTTACTGTCCTCTCGTAAAACAGTGAGAACGGGCCAAGATTATCGAATCCATGGAAGATTAGCAAAAATACGTAAACACCGGTAACTATAAGGAGTTGGCTATATTCGATAACCGAGCCTTCGAAAAACGCGTTCAAACCTCTTCTTTGTCCAGGCTGGAGCTGCTGATCTCGCGGATAGCCCAAAACAACCGTTTATCAGAAAGATTACGCACTTTTAGGTTGAAGATTGAGTACAAGAGTCAAAAATTTAGTGAATGGCTAGTTTGGACGCAAATAATGCTTTCGTTGGATTTTACTTACCTTGGTTGGTTGACTCCGATTGATCCCGGCGCGATACGGACGGTGAGTGACTTCGTGGACTACAGAAATAGAATAATGCAGCGAAGGATGAGAGGTGACTGAGCAAGAACGATGTTACTAAGCAAATGTCCACGTTCAGACCATGGCTCCATAGCCAACTAGTAAACAAAGTATGTTTAATAACTTAGGGTTCCACCCTTGAAAACGTTATTGATTGAATGAGCCAGATTAAACCAGGGGAAGCAGGATACACTTGTTTACTGGTGTCTGAAACGCTAGTTTTGGTAAACTTATTTTAACTTCCCGTATGCGCTCGTGAAATGCAAAAGAGCAGACATTAGGATGTTTCGATAAACATTCGCGAGACTTTGTCAAATCTGAAATTTCAATATAGCTTTTTTTACATTAGCAGTTAATCATGAGTATCCGAGTGTTTTAATTTTTGCTAATCCTCCTACAAGTTCAACTGGCGAGCAAAATTCAGGGTAGTTGAAAACCGATGCAGACTTCATTGTTGCTGTGGTGCTGCGACGATGAGTGTATCTTATGCTCATTCGTATTTATTTGAGAAACAATTCCTGCGCACTTAGTGGCCCGTGGACACCGACTCAAAATCCGTATTGGTTAAGTGTTTACAAACGACGGATAGACCGGATTGTAAAAAATAATGACTTTGGTTTCGGATACTACTTATTTTGGAGATGCGATTTTTCATGAAATGGTCTCCAGTCGGTTTTGTGGTCACGAAGGACTGTTATGACTGTCATGAACATTTGATTTGTTGTGGTCGGAGGAATTTACTACGGTATGACGCGACTCCAAATGAACCGAAGCAATTAAAAAAACTGCGCGAGCTGTTGTGGGAAATGTGAAAATACTCAGTACCACCAAATAGACATCGGAATCTCAAATGGTTAGCCACTTCGCTATGAACAACACTATGCGCACTCTCATCCGCCGATCACATTTACTAATCTCCACGACTTGACCTGCAACATCGACGCCGTATATTGATTTCTTCAATCCGCCTCCGCTCTTGCGCTAATATATTCGAACCCGAAATTTCTTCTATAAGACACATCCATTTTAATTTTTTTGCAACCACTGAAATTCTTCATTTTCTATCAGACTCTACTTTCAATTGTCCTGTTTTCTCCTACTGTCCATCCAAAAGACAGCAACCAAAACCGGCACACGAAAACGATCGAACAATGGCTGCACAAACTCATTCATCTCTAAAGCTGGTGTTCGTGCAATCAATTGCTTTTAACCCGTTCTACTACCGAAAACTCACCAACAGTGAATTTCAACTTGTGGCTGAGACTTCGGTTCTCTTCTTTCAATCGACACTTAGAATGCATACCCAAATAGCTGTGACCCTGCAGTTATCAATGTAATAGGCAAATATTTGGAACATCGCTGAAACAAACCTCGAAGACCAGATCAAAATCTTTGATTTTAATGTTAGTTCAGTTCATTGTGAATGTTATAATGTTATTAACACAGCGATGTCGGTAGACAATTATATTACCGTGGGTAACCTTTCCCAAGGCAAGTTTTACAATCAAAAAAACTTGCCTCGAGAAAGGTTACCCACGATAACCGAAACATCGGCGAATATAATTCTTTACCGACATCGTTGTGTTATCAGAACATAACATTGACAATAAAACAACACAGTGCATCGATTTTGCGATACACTCCTAGTTCAGTTTGTACATCCA